AACGCATCTGGCTAGGAAACCACAACCAATCATCCAATCTCTCACCCGGTGGAAATATGGCAAACGCAATAGGCAGAATGAATCCATCACCATCCTGTGACGTAGCAATCAAGAGGGTACCTTTGTATTTCCCGTACAGGTGTGTGCCATCAATTTGGATTATAGGTTTACAATATTTGAAAGCCTCAATGCACTGGTGAAAAGTCCAAAATACCCTGCGAAAGACAGCCTTATCGGTGTAGACACGTCGTTCGTCACAACACTGGTCCGTATCAATCTTGAACACAGAACCAGGATTAATCTGTGTCATGTAGGTCAGCCAACCAGGTAAGATGGCATATGATTTTTCCCAGTCGCCAAACAACTTCACAATGACCTTCATTTTAGCCTTCCAAGCCTTCCTATAAGATATGTTGTATCCATACAAACTTTGTACCCTCTCCTGAATAAGAACTGGTTTCGTGGATGGATCTTCTTTTAACATACCTATACAAAATTCGAAGTCAACACAGTCAATAAATATACTGAAAAATTAAACCATAAACAAAAATTCTGTAATACATACTTATAATGGCTGCACAGATTACATCAGAATCCAGCTGTCTATGGTCCTGAGTAAGGCCTTGGTTAGGCAGGTGTGTTTTTTACCCCACTTACTAACAACCCAACTATTTCCATTCTTGGGCAACATAGCCCGCACGTACCAGGGACAACCATCATTATGGTGTCGACACTTCATCACAAATCTATGGTCATCACTTTTTGCCACCACAGCAGTACGATGAGACTTCATACAATATAATTTGACTGCATGTTGCATTTCAGATTTAGTTCGAAACTCCTGGTACAAATATAATGGATCCCCTAAATGCCAGCCACCGTGGATGTCATCGTCGCCATACAATATCTTCGTCTCATCATTAGGGTGAGCCCAATTAATGAAGGAATAGTGTGGGCTGTCGTTCCAAAATGGCTCAATCTCAGAACCTACGTCCAAATTTAAACTTATCCGTCAGTACGAAAGAAAACACAAATATATATATATATATGCAAAATTAAAACTTTAATTTACAATCTTACCACTGCTAACAGGGTCAACACGGAGTTGTGGCATAACTGGGAACTCAAGTTTCCTGAACTAGTATCAGCGTCAAAATTCCCCTCTACGTCCGTATCTGAGGTGTCACCCAGTGGAATAACACTCTCGGGTTCACCATCGTCTTCACTGTCCATATCCTCGTCATGCTCATCCTCATCCTCGTCTATTTCCCTCAGTGTTATCTGACTTAAGACAGGTGTAGGTGCAGATAAACCGACCACTCTGTCTTCTTGACTTTGACTACTTCCATGCACAAGTGCAGATGAAGATTGACCACAGTCTATTTCAACATATATCTCAATAAAGTTTTGAAATTTTCGGTCCACAAATGCATCTATGACACAGTCCACATCTTCATCGTCACATATATCATTACCAATGTAGAATATAGCATCATTACCAACTGTAGACTCTACCCTGGCAATCATCCGTTGAACGCCATGGCTGCCGTGTAGCCCCAATTTTTGGTGAATCCTCCCCTTCAGCTCATTGTACGTAGTGCCCTGTTTGATTTTCAACATTTTTGTTTTTCCTTCAAATTGAACACCGTTGGGGCCTTCATAATGCTTTCCATCATAGTAAATCATGGTAACATACATGTTTGGACTTGAGCTCATCTTTCACATGAATTTTGGGGGCAGGAATCGGATTTTAGGGTTTTGGGTTCGGATTTGGGGGAAACAATTGAGAAATAAAGGGAAATGACAATGATTTCACAATTACTATGCCTTAGAGGTGGTGTGATGAAATGGAAGGGTGATTGGAAGGATCACAGCTGACAAACAAGAGAAAGAGGAGTTTTGATTTCGAATATAATGAAAATGAGACCAAGAGAGGTCTTGATATAGGATTTTCCGCGATATTTAGTCGACTAAAAGTGCAACAAATCTAGTCGATTAAGGTGAGTATTTAGTCGACTAAAATTCGTGTTTCATGATTCCTGAGTTTTGCCCATTTAGTCGATTAAAAGTGCAACTTAATCGACTAAATGGGGGCAGGATGGTGGATAGTTCTGGGGGAGGGGCAAATTGGTTATTAATTATTTAAAGAGGGGAAAAAGGGTCAAAAAGCCAGCATTAATACATCATTCTAAGGCATTATCATCTAATAGACATTTTCCATTTGAGCTCTCTAACACAACACATCATAAAATCCCTCTTTAGGGTTCATAAACATAAATCACAAATCAACCATTGAAATGCTGAAATAACTCACCCAAAAGCAAGGCAAATGACTACTCCTAAGTATACTCCATCATTGGAGCATTTGAAAACACCATGGTCACTCTTTTTCCTAAGCAAACCGCGGCCTAAAATGGGGAGGATCTCAAAATCCACTCACTTTCAAGGTTAAACAAGGCCACCAATGGCTTTAGATGGTGATTTCCTATGGAATTCAAGTCAAAGTTTGTTGATTTTGGTTGAGTTTTGTGTGAGTTGTGATCAAAGAAAGATTTGCACAAAAATGAAGGGGGAGGGGGTTGTTTGCGCGGCTGAAGGGAGAGAGAGGGGAGTGGGAAGATGATGAATAGTGATAGGATGAGGTGGACTTAAGTGATTTTAAGTGGGGTGGGTCCCACGCCACCTCACGCGATTCAAAACGCGTCAAAACTCTCACTAAACGTCCGTAAATTCAAAACCTATTTAGAAACTCTAATTTTTAACATTAACTATTCCATTTTAATTAGGCTTGACCAGATGAATTCAGAGTCCTCCATTCGTTCGGAGAAAACACTGTTTTAAGCTATCGTGCGCGCCGTCGGCATGCTTCCCCAAAATGTACTTTCATCAAATTTTATCAACAATCATATTTCCTAACTCAATAGACCATTTATGACTCATAATTGAAACCTAGAGCTCAAAATTCAACTGGAACGTTTTATGGTGCAATCATAACGCGATATTTTTACCCGCGAAAAACACTATTCACTGATTTTTCTGAAACTTGCCTATTGTAACAGCTCGTTACGTACCAGTAATGTTATCATTGCATATGGTATTAAACGCAGTTACAATCACAGTAATTGAGTTAATTAAATTACGGGTAAACTTTTTCTTTTATTACATTCCTTTCTTTAAACATTAACCATTTCCTTAATCAATTAAAACAACGTCATAATTGTAAATGCAAAAACTCGTGGAAGCTTAAAAACTTACTACACATAATCCCTCGAAGCAATGCCATTTATTTTAGATTTTTGAAAACACATTTTTGAACTTTAACACAGTGGTAATCGATTACCATACTTGAGGTAATCGATTACCAAAGGTAACTGTAGAAGTCAGAACCTCAAATTCAGCTCCCCTGTTTTCTAGTAATCGATTACCAGAGATTGGTAATCGATTACTGAACTAGGTAATCGATTACCAATGCTCTGGTAATCGATTACTTCGAAGACAGAAGCTCATTTTTTCGTCCCCTGTTGCAGGTAATCGATTACCAGTGAAAAGTAATCGATTACTATGCAGCAAAAATGACAGATGACAGCTTTTAAGACCCAAAATGAGTGGTCTAACTTACTCTTAACACCTTGCTACTTCATATACACCTTACACATGTCCTAATGTAGGCTCTAGGCCCTTCCATCATGCATATTCATTAATCAATGCATCAATTACAATGTTCTCAATATCATAGCCATTTACACATTAAATGGTCCATATACAACATAAGTTTTCCAATGCCTCAAATACAACATAGGTGGCCATGGACAAGTCCCATGCTCACACAAAATGCGAATAGAAACAAGAGGCATAATGTAAATCCAATACAAAAGACTTAGAATATAATCATGAACATCACAAAAGCATGGAAACCTCCACATGCAATATGTTCATAATCTAAGTCCCAAAATGCTAACTAAATCCTATGTGCATCATATATGCTTCTCCAAAACACCATGTACTCCATATGCACCACATGCTACTGCCATCCACTAAGTGGGCTTCTTGCCCGAAACTCCTCCGTGCTCATAATGTTCTGAAACAATGTCCCCAAACGTGGGGTGAGATATACATATATATCACAGTAAACCAAGGGTACTAGAGGATCACTCCACCCCATGGCTCACTCAAAGTGCTACAAATGATATCATGTAAAAATGCATGCATACAAAATCACACACAACTGGGCACATCCAAGAACATCCTCATAAGAATTCCGTTCGAGGACCCCTTCATATAACTCTCGGGAATCTTCCTGGTGCCTCTCCCATTGTTGAGACGACCCCATGGCAAAACCCAACTGGAACTCCTCATGAGCCTTATCCAGCGGAAGTCCCACATTTGGATCATCCTGGTACCGCTCCCAGAGTCGGTTCCACGGCAATACCCGACCGGAATCCCCAAAGGATATCTCCAGCGGAAGTCCAAACCAACACACATCTACTGGCCAGAGATCACAAACAATGCACACAACAGTAATGATGCATGAACATACATTTCCCACACCACATCATACAACACAAATTCCAACCATAACCTTCCACTAGGTGTGGTGGAGCACACAAGGGACTAAACTCCAGTTCCAAGGGTTTACCTCAACTCCAAGAATAAGGCTCCAAACGTACGCTCCGAGCTCAATCTTCCACTATCGCGTTCGAGAGAGGTAACTGATAGGATCAAGAATGGGAAACCAAAACAAGGAAATGTATATTGCCAGATTCAACGGTAATTCGAGTTTACCGGGGACTCCAAGAAGAATACAGAGGAAGAAGAAAGGGAAAATTCAGTTACAAACTTCAGATAAAATCTCCTAAGACGTGACTCTCACTATAAAAGAGAGTTCCATTGTATTCCTATTGGGCTACTCATCGTAGGCCCATTATTTACAAGCAATCCAGGTACTTAATGCCTCTATTCCTATTTCACCTATTGGGCTTCTGACCCCACTACGACCCACATCATTCCAAGTGGTAATCGTTGATCCACTTGGAGCGCACTTTCAACCTGCTCCCTCTTCTAGGAGCTTCTTTCCTCTGCTCTGATGTCGGTTCCACCGTCACTACCTCTTCTATCTCAATATCACCGCTTCCTTCTTCTATCTCTGGTTCAGGGTGCGTATCAATTCCCCCCTTCCTTAAAGATTCGAGCTTGCCCTCAAGATCGAAGTGAGGAAAGGCCTGAGCAAACTCGGTTAAAGACACCCAAGAAGCATCTTCGAGGGAAAGCCCACTCCACTGCACAAGCACTTGAAAGTCAGTAGCTTTTCCCTTGGGAATGGTCCTGGAACGCAGGAGTGCCATGGGTTCGGTCACAGGGTGATTATCCCATGTCACGGTTGGCAGTAGCAACGGGTGAAAGAACGCATTTTGCCGATACGGTTTCAAGAGGGAAACGTGGAACACCGGGTGGATTCGCGAACCGGCGGGCAAGGAGAGACGGTAGGCTACTGCACCCACGCGTTCAGTCACCGGAAACGGGCCGTAATAGCGGCGGCAGAGCTTGGAGAAGGATTGATTCCGAACGGATTTCTGACGGTACGGCTGCAGTTTGACGAGAACTTGGTCACCCACGGTGAACTGTACATCTCGACGATGTTTGTCCGCTTGGATCTTCATGCGCTGCTGAGTGCGGTGGAGAGTCTCCCTGATCTGTCTAATAATGTGATCTCTCTGGGTCAGCAAGGTATCTACAGCCTCGATGGGGGAGTCTATCGTACAACACTTGGAAGGGGCTGGAGCCAATGGCCGAATGAAATGAGGAGTTGTATGAGAATTCAGCCCATGGTAAGTATCGTGTCCATTCTTTTGGATTTTCCATAGTATAGCAGCGTAAGTACTGTTCCAATCCTCGATTGGTGACCTCTGTCTGACCATCACTCTCTGGGTCATTGGCAGTGCTGAAATGGAGCTGGGTACCACTCAGTCGAGACAATTCCTGCCAAAACTTGCTGAGAAAAAATCGATCCCTGTCTGATACTATCGAACGCGGAATACCATGATGGTGGCATACATCCGAAGCAAACACAGAAGCCACCTTCGAAGCTGTAAAATTGCCTGTCAACGCAGAAAAATGGGAGTACTTGGATGGGCGATCCACAACCACCATAATAACAGTCTTGCCTTCCGATGGTGGTAATCTGATTATAAAATCCATGGAGAGATCGTCCCAGACCGCCTTTGGAATAGCCAGTGGTTGCAAGAGACCAGCAGGGGACAGAGGCTGGTACTTAGTAACCTGACATATTGGGCAGGAACGAACAAATTCCTGAACATCAAACTTCATTTTTGGCCAGTAGTAGTGATTAGAAATCCGATGAAAAGTCTTGCGGATACCACCATGACCGCCCACCACTGTCGAATGGAATTCATGGAGCAAGGTAATTCGGATAGCTGAAGTACTAGCTAACACAATACGGCCTTTGAAGTAGAGCAGATCATCCTTAAAGTGGTAATCCTCAAACCCTTCTTTGTTGTCTTGAAGAGCAACTAATATTTTTTGTAATTCGGGATTATTTGTGACCTCTGCCTTAATAGCAGGTAGCAGGGGATTAATCCTGGTAGATAAGACCAGCAACTGAGAAGTTGTCCTGTCAGTGCTCTTTTCACCTTCGTGTTTCCGGGACAGAGCATCAGCGACTTTGTTGATTGCACCAGGGTAATATTCAATATCAAAGTCATAGCCAAGTAATTTGACTAAAAATCTTTGTTGTTCAGGTGTCTGGATCACCTGAGCCATCAAGTTCTTTATGCTGCGCTGATCAGTACGGATGGAAAATTTAGTACCCAACAGATATTGACAAAATTTAGCCACTCCTTCTGTAATGGCGAATAGCTCCCGGACGTATGTAGAAGCTTGCTGCATTTGTGGAGTCAACTTGCGGCTAAAGAAGGCAATGGGTTGGTTTTCTTGGCTGAGTACAGCTCCCACACCAGTTCCTGAGGCGTCTGTAGTTAGTACAAAAGACTCACTGAAGTCAGGTAAAGCTAACACTGGATGATTAGTCAAAGCCTCCTTCAATCGGTGCATTGCTTGTGTGGCCTTGGGATCCCATTTAAAGGCATCCTTTTGGAGGAATGCAGCCAGTGGAGCTGCTATCTGGGAGAACCCCTTGACAAACTTGCGATAGTAGCCAGCCAACCCAAGGAAGCCCCTTAACTGCTTCACAGTGGTAGACTCCTTCCAGTCCGCAACAGCCTTAATTTTGCCATCATCGGGTCTAACACCTCTTGCATCAACCACATGGCCGAGGTACTCAACTTCAGATTGTGCAAATGAACATTTTTCTTGTTTTGCGTAAAACTGATTAGTGTGTAAACATTCCAAGACAGCATGCAGGTGCTTTAAGTGGTCGTCTAAGGTCCTGCTGTAAATGAGAATATCATCAAAGAAAACAATTACAAACTTTCGCAAATATACCTTAAGGATGGAGTTCATGATTCCCTGGAAGGTAGCTGGGGCATTGGTTAAGCCAAATGGCATAACCACAAATTCATAGTGGCTGTCATGCATGCAGAAGGCAGTTTTGTAAATGTCATGATCAACCATGCGGATTTGGTGGTAACCAGCCCGGAGATCCATCTTAGAAAAAATGGTAGCTCCTGCCAACTCATCCAGCATCTCATCCACGGTCGGAATTGGAAAACTATGGGCTACAGTGACCTGATTGAGAGCTCTATAATCTACGCAAAATCTCCAGGTACCATCTTTATTTTTAACAAGCAATGCCGGAGAAGAAAATGGACTGATACTAGGACGCACCACCCCTGATTCCAGCATTTCTTTGACCAATTTTTCCATTTCAGTTTTCTGAAAATGTGGGTACCGGTAAGGTCTGACACTAACTGCCTTTGTTCCAGGTTCTAACTGAATCTGGTGATCTTGCTGGCGATGTGGAGGCAATGTGGAAGGCTTGGAGAATACTTGTTCAAATTCCTTGAGAACGTGCAGCACCCGAGCATCAGGTTCATTTCTACTTGCTATCAGAGACTCATGAGGGTGCACAGTGGCATGCAATTGATAAAGACAAGCTACTGAGTTGGAAGCATTCAACCTCCGAAATTGATTTAATTGGATGGGCTGCATGTTAGCAGTGGGCTCCCCTTGTATCTCCACTGGTTGTCCTTCTCGTTCAAATTGCATCACCAATTGTTTGTAATTGATTGTAATATTCCCCCACTCAGATAGCCATTGCACCCCTAAAACCACCTCAGCTCCTTGAATTGGTAACACATAAAGATCAGGACAGAAACTATGCCCTTGTATATCCATAACTACCTTAGGACACATTCCCAAACAGCCCATCCTCTCTCCATTTCCCACTAATACTTGAAATTTCTGTGTTGGTATGATCTCTAAACCCAAGAATTTCACCAAACGTTCTTGGATAAAATTGTGGGTTGAACCACCATCAACAAGAATCTGCACTGTTGCATTACTGATCCTTCATGTGACCCTCAGTGTACTAGTTGAGTGCTGCCCTGCCATGGCATGCAAGCTAATTTCTGGTGTCAGAAGGTCTTCTCCTCCCAACTCTTCAGCAACCTGCTCCAGTTCTAAGAGCGTATCTTCCGGCAGTGGTGGATCATCACCATCTTCCTGCATGACTAAGATGAACATCTTCCCTTTGCAGACATGACTTCTACTAAATTTTTCATCACAATAGAAACACAGTCCCTTCTCTCTTTTTTCTGCCATTTCAGCAGTGGACAGCTTCCTCATGGGGAGAGGGGTTTTAGTTGCACCAGTGCCAATAGCCAGATTTTTCGAAGGTGTAGGTAATAACCCAGCTTGGTTATTTGCAGTATTGTTTACTTAATTTTTACTGTAAAAATTTCTGCTAGTGCTTTGATCATCCAGCTTGTCTTCAATTATTTTAAATAAATCAATTGCTTGCTCCAAGCTTGCAGGAAGATGCATTCGTACCTCTTTGCGGATCTTTGGTTTGAGACCAGATTCAAAGTAACTCTGCAAAGTTAAATCATCAATCCCAATAACTTGATTGGCCAGCTGCTTGAAGTGTGTCTGATAATCATCCACGGTAGTACCTTGGGTCAGCCTACCCAGTTCTCCTCTCAAATCCCTATACCGTGAAGGGCCAAATCTGGAACGCAAGGCTTCCAAAAAATTGGTTCCAGGTATGCAATCTGCCATTACGGACCATCCAATGGTACCATTCTTCAGCCTTCCCATCCATGTGAAATGACGTGAGCGTAAATTTCTCAACATCAGACAAATTGTGGAATCCATAGAATTGCTGGATCATGTGAATCCACGGCTCCGGGTTACCTCCATTGAATCGAGGTATGGTTAGTTTGACTGATTTAAAAGGATTATTACCGAATAAACCACCAATTCCCTCTCCTGATGAGGTTTCTGTCTTACCTTTACCTCTATGCTGTTGATCTATTTTAGCCTCCATCATTGTTAATTTCAAGTTCATTTCCTTTAACATATTTCCTAAGGCACTGAATTGTTCTTCGTGGTGTTGCACGCGGTTCAAACATTCGTCAATGGCGTTCTGCTGCTTCACAGCACTGCGAGTTCCCTCTGTCATGGTGACGATGCACAGAAGTTGCCTCTCAATGAAAGCACCAAAATGATAGGATCAAGAACGGGAAACCAAAACAAGGAAATGTATATTGCCAGATTCAACGGTAATTCGAGTTTACCGGGGACTCCAAGAAGAATACAGAGGAAGAAGAAAGGGAAAATTCAGTTACAAACTTCAGATAAAATCTCCTAAGACGTGACTCTCACTATAAAAGAGAGTTCCATTGTATTCCTATTGGGCTACTCATCGTAGGCCCATTATTTACAAGCAATCCAGGTACTTAATGCCTCTATTCCTATTTCACCTATTGGGCTTCTGACCCCACTACGGCCCACATCATTCCAAGTGGTAATCATTGATCCACTTGGAGCGCACTTTCAACCTGCTCCCTCTTCTAGGAGCTTCTTTCCTCTGCTCTGATGTCAATTCCACCGTCACTACCTCTTCTATCTCAATATCACCGCTTCCTTCTTCTATCTCTGGTCCAGGGTGCGTATCAGTAACCTATATGATCAACAAATGACCATCAAACATATGCAAACAATTCATCAATTTCACACATTTAGAAAACCAACCTATAGTCACTTAGGCCTAATGGCCCATTTCCATTTAATTCAATTATCTTAACTCCTTGACTCATCAAAGTGATTCATCAATCCCACCATTATACACTAAATCAACATCCATTGCCTAAACCATATTTTCGCATCATTTTTCCTACCAACTACCTATGGTTCGAATTCATCAATGAAACACCCTTCAAGGCTTTCAATCCAATTCAAAAATTACACATGTCATAAAATCCTATTATTAACCTATACGATAAACAATCATGCCATTTTCACACAACTAAATTTCTAAATCTCGTGACACTTAATTTTCTTCCTAAGTTAAATCATCGTTTTCACTTAGAATTTTCATAGCATTTCTAGCTCAATCATGTCATTCTAAGACATTATTGTCTAATGCAATTTTTCCATTTGAGCTTCCAATCATCATAAATCAACAATTACAAGCATAGGGTTCATAAATTTGATCTATGAAATCAATCATAAAAACCATGTA